CCAAACAAACATAAAAGAACCCAAACAGAGAGTAATTATTACAAGAATGCAAACACCAAAACATAAAAGAACCCTAATATAGCTACCAATTAAGAACCCATAGCTACCAACGAAAACATTTATGGATTTAAGAAGAGATTAGGGTTAAAGGGACTAGGGTTGTACTTACATGGATATTGAGAGAGAGCTGGGAGAACATAACAACTGCTTGAGAGAGAGCGAAAACTTTAAGAACTATTTGAGGGTTAAAGGGAAATTCTGAAAATTTTAGGTCGCGGTCAAAAATTTTAAAGTACCGCGTTTTTCAACGACAACGGTCAATACTTATATGGACGTCTAATTCTTACTTACAACGGCGGTTTCTATACAAGACCGACGTTGTAAACATAACGGACGTCGCTATTTTAATAACCGACGTCGTAAACCGAATACAATTAGTCTTCGTTTATGTAGTTGACCAAAAACAGCGGGAGAAAACCAGCGTCATTTCAAAAAACCCTAAACCCTAAATTTTACAATAATTTTTAAAAAATACACAAGTATGAGAAAAATGAACCGAAAATTGCTATGGACTCCTTACAACAATGCCTTCTACAATAGTAGGCTAAAATATGGATTTCATAATTTTGAATTTATGGGCACCAATGGATCACATAAACTTTTGGGTTATGTTATGTAAAGTATAAGGAGTACTATGCTTTGTCTCTAAATTTGTTTGAATTTTGTTATCATTTGAACTTTGAAAACTAAAATTACATTTTTCAGGCCTTAACGGGCAAGATATTGTCTCAAGCAGTGCATAGAATTTGCCGGTATATTTTTCGGATTTTGTTTTGAATATATTATTAATATTAGTAGTTAAATACAATAAAAAAATATTTCTAAAATTATATTTTTTAAAGCTTTAGGATAGAGACAATATTTCAATGCTTGGTAGTTTTCAGTTTAATTTTTGGATTTAGTTTTGAATTTAATATGGAATTAATTAAAATATAAAAGTCATTAAAAATTAAATGAAAAATGACCTATCCGACGTTGTATCCTTTTACAACGACGTTCAACATCAGAAACTGAGGTCATAAAATTATTAGACATCGAAACTAATAGAAAACGACGTCTTTTTTTGGATAATCGATGTGGATTATCGTATTACCACGTCCGTTTAAGAATATCCGCCTTTGTATATTATTAAGACGTCGATAAGGTTATACTAACCGACATAATATATAAGTACAAAATTCATTTATACAAGATGAATTAATTATAAACCGTCGTTTTTATGACTATTACACGTCATTTTAGTGTATATAACCGACGTTGTTTAAATATACAAAGGCGGATGTTTAAGAATATCCGCCTTTGTGTATTATTAGGACGTCGATAAGGTTATACTAACCGACGTAGTATATAAGTACAAAATTCATTTATACAAGGTGAATTAATTATAAACCGTCGTTTTTATGACTATTACATGTCGTTTTTAAGAATTGCCGTCGATGTTATATTTCCAGTTAGAGCAAGACGACCATTGTGTACACGTATGAGACGTGTAAATTAGAATCAAACGTCGGTGTTTGGGATCTAAACAAGTTTTAAAACAAAATTTAATTTTTTTGATGTTTGTTCGCTTGATTACAACAAATATTTATGTACATTTTAAATAAACTAAAATAAACTAAAATAAACCTAAACATTGTTCATAAATATTTATGTACATCAATTATCCTTCGGTAATAAGTTGTTCACGAATTCTGCCCATTCATGCCTAACTTCGTCAATATCCTCTTGTTTATACTGAACTTTATCTTTTTTCTTCTCAGACTGCAAAATAAACCAAAAAACCGATGTGTTATAAAGATACAAATGACGGTTTTAAACAAAAATCTGACGTAGTAAAATAAAGAAAGTATATCTAAAATGTTGCGTTTTACCTTCTTCTCGAAATTTAGGTCTGGATCATGAATTATATCTCTCATGAATCGCATCACGTAATAGCCACACTCTACACTTGTTGGTTGTTCAGGAGTGCCGTGTAGATTTTTCCAAATGGCCTGCTGTTTACGTGAATTTTTGTTTATATGAAGGTTAAACATTTTAATTGACCTGTTACAAGAAAACAAAGGGTGTTAATGACAAAATAAAAAATTTAAATACAAATAGTAACCGTCGTGGTAAATCAGTCAAAACGACGGAGTTTTTTAAAAAAAAGACGTGATATTTTGTTTCAAACGGCGGTAAAAACTTACCGTCGTTCTGTAACATTATAACGTCGGTAAGAGTAAAATGTCGTATAACAAAAAATTGAGCAGAAAAAATTAAAATGTTCTTAAATAAAACCCAAACGACGTGGTAGTTAAATTACAACGACGTTTTTAAGAAAATACTGACGTAATAAAGTATTTAACACGTCGGTAATAACTTACCGTCGTTATATTGTCATTATAACGTCGGTATTATTAAAAATCGTCGTATATTTAAATACTTTAAAGGAAAAAAAATCTTAAATCAGAAGAAATCAACTTACGTATTCACTATACTTTTCATGTTGTCGTCAACCATGTGTTTTGGCAGTGAATTCAAGTAATAGGCAGTCTCCGTTGTTGGTCTCACAATTACCATCACCCAATGACCCCTGCACATAATGATTCATATAGGTTAAATAGTACTACAAAGAAAAATATTACAAGCTTAGGAAAATACTTTAAAGGGTACTAACCCTGGATTATAAGGGACCAAGAAAAATTGATTCCCATCTGCTGTTTTCAGTTGGTTTGATAGGTTTTTTATTCGGTCTGATATTGATCCATATTGAGAGCTCACTAGCCCAGGGTCCACGAAGCCAACAAGGTTTACCATATTTGCCATTTTTAAATAGTCAAATAGTAACCTAAATATATGAAAGTCAATTAAATGAGATTTTAATTTAAAAGAAAGGAAAATGTAAAACAAAATGGGATTAGGGAGAATTACCTCATGTATACTGATATCACTGTGGTTCGAATCTCAACCATGGAACCAAACTGCAAAATATCTTCAGGTAAGAGGAAGGTATCATGCTCAAAGCCAAACACCTCCTTGGGCATGTGAACTGCCACAGCCTCCTTAGTAGGCAACAACTTGGTCTGGACATGTTGGCATAAGGCTAACAAAGGAGGTGGCATGTCTAGCTTTGAGAGATCCTGTTACAAGAAATAAATAAAGAAATATAAGTTAGTTTGTGTTTGAACTAAAATAAACGACGGTTTCTAGTAAATACTGACGGAGGAAAGTTTATACACATCGGTAAATATATAACCGTCGTTGTATGGAATTTATAACGTCGCTATACTATAGAAACAAGTAAAAGCGTCATGGTATTTAACTAAACACGACGTGTCTTGTAAGAAAAAGACCTATATACCGTCGTTATTTTAAATTTTAACGTCGGATATTAAAAGGAGCAACGTCTATTTAAAATTTAAAAGGCAGAAATAGAAAATAGCAGAGATTTTACCGTGTCCTCTTTCTGTTTTCTAGCAGTATCAGCTTCAGGCTTCGGATCTTCTAATTCCAAAGCTAGGGGTCTGATACCAATGGCCCCAGAGCAGCTTGCCTTATCAGACATTGGATTTTTTGGGCTTTGATCTTGAGGGGGTAAAGTAATTGGAGGAATTGGAGAAATTGGGGTTTTGAGCATCTAGCTGGGATCAAAATTAGGAACTAGTTCACGGAAATATGCCAACATAGCCTCCCTCTCTGCTCTGACTGCTTCCATTATAGTTTCCCTTGACTTCGCCTCAATCCTCAAGGTCTCTTCTCTGACTGCCTCCCTCACACTTTCCTTCAATTTATCACCAAATTTCACTCTCTGCTGTTTCGGCAAATTGAAGAACTGAGTTGGGGTAACGCCAGCACCAACTCCTCTGACTCTCCCACCATGCTCGGGGGTTCCCAAAGCAAGAGTCAAGACATCATTGGTCCCGGAGACAGTCAGAGTGCCTTCGGAGACTTGCTTTTGCAAATCATCCTAAAAGAGAGAAAGAGAGATTGTTAGAAACTGAGCAGGGTGTAAAACAGATAAATAAACCGACGTTGTAAATTATAAACAACGACGGTTTTCTTAAATTACTGACGTAGTAATAATTTAAAACGTCTTTAAATACTACGACGGTTTTGATTTATGTTTAAATCTGTTTTATGAGCAGGGTGTAAAACAGATAAATAAACCGACGTTGTAAATTATAAACAACGACGGTTTTCTTAAATTACTGACGTAGTAATAATTTAAAACGTCTGTATTTAAATACCATCGTTGTTTATAATTTACAACGTCGGTATATATAAATCCGTCGTATATTCTAAATAAAACAGATTAAAACATAAATCAAAACCGTCGTAGTATTTAAAGTAAGACGACGGACTATTGAACAAACAGATGTAGGACTTAATTTCATACGGCTGCACAAAATTACCGTCGTTGTATAAGCATTCTAACATCTAGATAAGATAAAACCGTTGTAAATTTTAATGAAGAAGTGAAAAAACTCGATTGAAATATGCATTCTTTCCAGAAATTGTGCACCACAAATTTCAATAAAATAGACAGAGAGAGGGAGAGTGTGTGCGTGAGTAAACTTAAAACAAAAATGCAGTTCATAGAGGAATTTAATCCGTCGTATTAATTCTATATAGACGTCTACTTTATTCAAAAACCGACGTCCTATTCATTTTTAAACGTCGGTAAATTAAGCCCGTCGTGGTGTTTATTTTATCACGTT